GAGGTCCTCATTTTGGTTTCTGCTAGAATGGTATCTCTATACTGCACTACATGTAATCAAGCTTCAGACATTCCCATAACACCCTTCATGTAAAATATCAAAAGTTTATATATATCAGATATTGTGTGTTTGGACACTTATAGTCCAGTAGAATATTCCAACGCTGTGAGAAGCAAAATGTACAGTGTAGGATTAGAATGGGTAAAAACTTTGTGTTAAATTTCTTTTTCCTTCTTTCAAGATAACTTTAATCTAGTTATTTTACTTAATGGTACTTCCACACACAAATTAGATAATTAGTAACCTCATTAAGAAAAATTCTTTATTTTACGTGGATTGTGCCCAAGAGGAAAAAAATCTCAATCACTTGAAAGCCTCATCTCCTCCTCCTTACCCCTCCCTCCTGGAATCAAAACAAATTGAATCAAAACAAAACAACCCCCCCCAAACAAAGAGACAAACAATAATATTATGTTGCAATAGTGTTTTAACTAGGTTTGCTGGGGGGAGGGAGGAATAAATATTGGGTTTGAATAGAAATTGAGTGTTTGGAAGACTTATTTGCACTGAACAGTATCCTTAAAAGAGGGACCAGTATAGGTAGAGTCCCCAAATAAATTATTACTATTCCTTTTCAGACTAAAAATAAAACATTTTAAATATATTGATTATACCTTCATCAGAACGTAATTATTCTATCTGGCCTATAGGTTCCAAGAATCTCTATTTGGGCTTAACTTACCATAATTTCAAAACAAAGCAATGAAATGTGAAATTTTGCACATTAGGATGTCCATAGTGACCACATAAAGTAATAAAAAAAAAATTCACAGACTCTTAGCCATATATTTCAACTTTTTTTCACAATTTAAACTAGTGAGAATTAAAAAAAAACATCAGTTTTCTGCTAGGAATATTTTCTTTATTATTATTATTCCCCATTAAAATCAGATGCATTTGTGCCTTTTGGGGCTTTTTAAAGAATATTAACTTTCTGGGGGCATGCCATGAGTGAGAAAGTAATCAGGTAAAAATTAAAATATATTCTCAATGAAAATCTCAATCATATCATGCCACTGACTAAGCCAAACTCTCCACTGATTTCAGGCTAGAGTGTGGCTTAAAAATTTCTGGTATGATACAGGACTCTCATTGATCTGTACAGGTTTTCAATCATATCCATTGTTCCCTGACTTCTGATACTTTTCTTCATCTGTATTGCTTACTTGTAATAAAGATTCAGAATTGCATTTAAACTCTATGAATTTTTGGGGCATTTTGACTCTTATTCCTGCCCACCTCCATTGATACAAGATTTTTTTGCCATTTTCTGAGTGACAAAAAGTTGAAAAGTTATGGCTAGTTTTATTTCTATTTTAATAACCATACCTATATAATTATCATTTTCATACATTAAAAAAATATTTATGCTTTCTTTTATATTTTAGTCAAGTACTTTCTTAAACAAAACAATAGCACCACTTTGGCATTGTTGGCCAAATCAATAACAGGTAAAGCAAATATGTGTACACTTTTCTGATCTTGCCATTTCCTGTACTTGATTATTAAATGGAGAGCCAAGAAGACACAGTGCTTGGCTTAACGTCCTCATTAATCAATTTTGATTGATACTGAGAGAACAACAAGCTCATGGGGCAACTGAACATAGCTACTAATTTTGTATGAAATTCATTTCTAGAAAGAAAGCCCACCACTAATTTACCCTTTAATGTTACAAAAGGAATTGACACTGTAAGCTGCCTTGGAAAAAAGGGGCCTTTTTTGATGTGTCTACAAGGACTGGATGCAATAACCCATAGTTTGATTTTCTTCTCTCTCTTGACTGAATGGCACAAATGAGCCTCATACAAGTCTATCACAGAAACGTAAGCGTAGGTTTGTAAGTACATTTTGAGCAAAATAAGGAATTAATTCATTTTCTATTTAAACTCTTAATGATTAATTGCGTTTACCATGGAGATAAGGCTCAGATTTTGCTACCTGGATGAAAGAGATATATTAACTTCAGTGGATTTAAATCTGCAGTGCTTTTTGAACTGACTGAAAATAATGAGGCTTAATTAACTTTTTTTTTCTTATGCATTTCAGTGACATTCTATGTAATAATTGGAGTTTAAGTCTACTCTAGAATACAAAAATCTGTTACCTCTCTCATGTGACTTAGATGATAGGGAAGAATGGGGAGTGGGCTTTTCTGTACCATTTAAGTGATTTATGAGAATCAATGACATCCTGTTCCTAAATATCTGGAGTGCTTTTGAAAATCCAGCTGAACCTTTCAATTTCTCTAATTAGAAGTTTTTCAAGTCAGACTGCTTTGTACTTTTGGGAGGGAGATGTTTTGGCTCATGCTTCAACTTCTTTAAGTAGAGGATTTATTAAGATTATTAAGCTAATGCAGCCCTTTATCTTTCACACTAACTGGTATATCATGTGCTCCCAGCCATATGACTGGATATTTCTTATACAAAATGCATTTCCCATCCATGCATTTCTCACCTCTGTGGGGCTGGAGCTACTTTCCATTTTGTGATACCATTTATTCACTAGTAAAGCAAAGTGTTGCCTTTGAAGTTTGTACCTATTCATTATTTATTTTAGTTTCTTCCAAGAATTGCTCTAATTTGTTTAGACCGTTGTCAGGTTGTGATGTTAGATACTGCTGTGTCTGAGTGACATTTTCTAATTATAATTTCTCAAAAGGAGAAATATGGTGGCATGAATGTGTGTGAATCTCAAGATAAGACAAAAAATCTGAATTAATTCACAGGAATTGATGCAAAATGATGTATAGTTATTCAGTTGTGCTAACAGTGCATCAGTAAAAAAGTTATCTGCAAAGAAACTTGCCACCACAGCTATCTGCAAATTGCTTCTTACATTCACATCTTTCTTCTTTCCTCCCCTTAGAACTTCAGAGGATTTAGGAGACAGAAAGGATCATGGGACATGAAATAGAAATATGTATTAAGTCTGTGACATCAAAATAATGGCTTATTCTTAGAATGTATTTCAGAATTCTTACAGCCATTAAAGTAGAAGTACTTCCCTCTCCATCTCCCCGCCAAAAAAATGCTTGTAGGAGCTGTGGCAGGTATCAGAATTCCTAACTCTGTTTATTGAATTGGTGGTAAATAATTTAGGTTAGTTTTCACACCTGTTTCTCTTTACTTTCTTCCTTTTTCAACATAACTATCTCAGTCAGTGTCAGCTGTGACATATTCTTTTTATTCATTTACTGTTCTACTTTTACATTGCTATTGTAGCTTATTGTGCATATAGACATCCATCTCACAGAAAGCGGAGGGTTTAAAGAATTGCATAGGAATACATTGCACTTGTTAAAAATACAAACCACAGATTTTCTATGGGAATAAAAAGGAACTATAATAATTTGTTAGACTTTTAAGACCTACCTTGTTTCACAAGGAACTATTGAGGAGCTGTATATATGCAGTCTGCAGAGAACCTTTTCTTGTGTTTTAGTCAATACTTCAGTTATCTACTCCCCTGGATGTGGTAGAAAGGAAGGCAGATTTGAGCCTTTAAAAAGGGATGCTTCCTTTATAGGTCTAATCTAACATCTCCCTAACTGCTCCCTTCAAGCAGTATTGTCCAGGCTCCCTTTGGGGCTGACCAAGAGACACGTCATCCCATGCCTGAGCTTACCACATGCAGGGAGGTGAGGGGAAGAAGTCAAGTGGAACCACTTTGGAGTTCTTGGAAAGGGTGGAACAGTGCATGCCCCCAGCCCTCCTCCCCCCCATCTAGTCTACCCTTCTCTCACAGAGAAGTTTATTGCTCACCTTGGTCACTGTTGGCTACCTTCACTGCATGGCCAATCTGGCTCTCAGTCGACGTAAGAAAATGGAGCATAGGACACGTGTTATTTAAGGTAGAACCAATGCAGTGCCTATCAAAGTTACGTAACAGGGGATTGTAAGTAAGGATGTAAGGATTTTATGGTTAATCTCTTCTTGAGAACTCTTTCTACACTGTAATTTGGTGATTAGATCGGCTTTTCTGATTTACAGAGAGATGCAGGAGCCCAATGAATGGTCAGTTAAGTCACATCTGATTGTGGGAAGAATTAAAATGGAGGGGAACTTGGGTACCTCTCTATTATGTTTGAATAGAATGATGATATTTCTGCAAGATTTAGGCACTGATGGACTACCCTTTGAAATCATTTGAGAGTTGTTCTTCAAATTGTTTTCTCTGGGCCTAGACATCTATGAATTTGTGTTCCACATAACCATAAGTGAGAACACCATCATTCAAACATCTAAAAGGAAACAAGTATGTGAATTTTCTTTTGGAGATGGGAAAGTTATTACCATATTGAAATCTGAAGCCATTTCAGTTGATTTAAGCTGAATAATTTTGAGACTCTTTTGTTATTTAATCTTTGGCTTGGTCCTTCCACATTTGCTTTTACCTATTACCGTTTTGGCCAGACCCTTTCATGTAACAAACTATAAAATAGCACCGTTGTACTATAAAACAGAGATTTTTACATACTGTTTGATATATGTGTATTATTGATATGCTAAATTTTACATACTGCATTATATGGAGGAAGAAAGAAGTTACCTATACTGTTGCAAAATAATTACCTGGAAGAATCATTACTGGTTTGAGAGCCTATGTATGCTTTAACTGCTTTAAAAAAATCTTTTGTCTCACAAATTGCAATAAATTGCAAGTTTGCAAGAGAAGGAAGAAAAAACTGTCTTAAAACAAATGCATCTATAACCCATATTCTGTTGAAATGCCACAGATGGAATTAATGGATGTTTAAAACTGTATATGTTACCTTACTGCTGCTGTTACTGGGAATGTCAAACTGTGCAAATATGAAGGGGTAGACAAACAATGTTATCAGACACTGTAAAACAAACAGCCTGTTGCTTGTATAGAAGTGCAAATAAAAAAACCACCACTTAGACAAGGCTGATGAATGACTCCAGCAGCCAATGTTCATAGGTTAATTTAGTGCAATTGGATCCGTCAAAGGCCCATAAATTTGTAGGCATTTGAGGGGCACAGGACTTTAAGAGTTTTTGTGCAGGACATTTAAAAAAGGTTAACAAACAGTAATATATCAACCACAGAAATTTTAGCTCTGGGCTGGTTAAAATGTTCTGTTCTCTAAAGACTTAATATTGGAATGTTTAGTTGCATTGTTCACTGGGAGAATGCCCATTGGTTGAGATTGCATCAAGCTTTTTAAAACAAAGGTTTTTTTAAGTCTTCCAATGTTTAACAAATAATTTATTTACAGCAAAGTATCCTGCAGATGGCACATTCATTCTTCATTCTTGTGGATGGCATGTTCTTACATTCTGTAGTTTCTGTTTCCTGTGTTCCCTCTACTTGTATTCTTCAAATGCACTTCCTGAGGGTTTAGAAAGGAAAAAATATTACAGATAGGTTTCAATACTTTGCATGACCACAAAACTTATAATAGTGGGAAAACAGTTACCCAGAATGCTGGAATTGTTAGACCCCCTTCTGCCAGTTCACAAGGAATAGTCTGCAGAGAACCTCCTCGTGTTTTAATCAGTAGTTCAATTACCTACAGGGCACTTAACAATACAGAACTTCTGTACCCTAAATTTCCAGTTCTCTTAGACATAAATGATTGCTGTCATTGTTGATCTTGGCAGAGGAAACATCTGCATACTGGAACCTGGATGGGCTTAGACATACAGTAGGTACCAAAGATTTTCTTTCACAAGGACATTTGCAAGAGCGGAATGTGTAGGGGCCGAGGAACTTGGGAGTTGTAACTGCAGGATTTATGGACCCCCTTGGGCTTTGGTACCCAGTGTTTTCAAAATTGCTCTGCTAACTACATATTGCATAAATAGCATATTACATATGTTGGATTTTGTTGGATAAGGCCTTGAGGAGGATAAAAAGTGTGGGTTCAGTGTAGGAGCTACAGTCAAATAATTTGTATTTTCAAAACAGACAGGGTGATGTGCCAGGCAAATCAAGAGAGCTTTGGAATGAATAATGCCCTCAGTTTACTGTCAGTCCAAGCACAGGCCAGTTTCCAGCAGCAGTGATGGGTGTGACATACACATTTCAGTTTGATTTCCTTATTTGCCATGCTGGTAAATATTAGCTGGGCCCAAAGCTTCGTCCATCCTGTATCAGAATAAAGGCAGAATTTTTAAGTGACTCTCTATAATCCTCATCAGAAGTCAAATTCTTACTTAACTGAAATCTGTCTGTCCTAAGAAAAGCCAAAAAGAAAAAACTCTCTCTGTGAAATGTATAGAATGTGTATGCAGCTCTACCACTGCAGTAGTTGCTATTAAAGCCCTAAAAATAAGGAAATGTAGCCTCTAAAATATAAAAAGTAATAAGATTTGCCTGCTTTTCTGATGGGCAGAAAGAAAATGAAAACTAATTTGGAGCATTACAGTTTCGTGGAGATTTTTAGTGATTTCCCAGATAACATTGTATTCTATATATAACTTTTCCATTTCCTTTCAGTATCTATTAAACATAAAATAAATCTGAAACTACCAAAGGATCACAAAACTTGAGCTCACATAGAGTTTATTAATTTTCTTGGATTTGGATTGGATTCTCATGGTTATGAGTTGAATTATTATTTCAAGTATATGAAATAAAAATGAAGCAGTACTAGTAATTGTTAAATTAACTATACCATTAACAAGTAAAAAAAACATTAAGCCAAGCTAGGACTTATCATCACTGACAAACCAAACTTGCTGATAGCAAAGTATTCATAATGAAGAAATGTCTCTTTTAGGAATCTGCCATTGTAGAATAGATTAATCATCTAGTCTCTTTTCCTGTGAAAAGTTCAGAAGGATACTGGCTTGTCTTCATCCAGTTTTGCTAATATTGCTGTAGAATGGCTTCCTTAGCATCAAACAATACGGATTCAGAAATGTCAACAGAATTCTGCTTATCTGTACCTTAACATATTTTCTGCTTTTCATTGCCTATTTCTGTTCCAGCTTTTCCAAAACTACCTTTGCTGACTTTAGTTTTCCCTAAGTTGTATGTTAGTTTTCACCCTTAAGTACTCATCCTGGGTCAGCCCTTCGATTTTCACTGATTTTCATGAAAATCATCATTGTAGTGTTTCACAGGAGTCTGCCAATATGAAGGATCCTGCCTTATTCTGCAAATGCTTAGATCAGTTACAATGAAATAGGAAAATGGGAATTTCTTTACTCATCTGCCCAGCTTTTTTCTACACAGCAACAAAATAAAATATTCTCCTCAGTGCTGACCCTAGGTGCTCCTCTTTGAAGATAGTTTACCAACATATAGGAAGAGTTATATGTTACATTATATTTGCAAAAAGTCATACATTCTTAAGGACTGAAAACTCACGATCTATAAAATAGACAGTGAGAGTCTTATGATGAAAGAACAGCCATTTTGCATTGCATTGACCTTCAAAGTGTATTTAGATTGAAAATTACCTATATTTTTCTCAAATGAAAATATAAATTATCTCACCACTGCTGTTGTCTGACTTTAAAATGGCTTTATCAACCAAATAAAGCAGATACTAAGATGCAGCAGGATTGCAGTTACAGCTTTTAATGCTGACATATAGGTAAAAAAATAGCTGTCATGATACACAAACTAGCTTTGAAATTGAAGGAAGATGGCAGGTTACTTTTAGAACATTTTCTTCTCCAGATTCAGCGTTTTGATGAATAACTACAAATAAGTGCCACTGGTGGTAGCAGCAGTAACATGCATGCCAGAAAATGCTTTGACCCACATAACACACTTTTTCATGTATGCAATGCTGAGACTGTTGGGAAAAACAAAACAAAACAAAAAAACAAAGTTGTGAATGCTTGAATCAGGTTCTCAGACCTGCATTTGTACTGGTATATCAAAGTTTGCCTCATTTCTCAAGTCTTTGAGGAAAAGGTAGTTAGAGACAAAATTGCATCTGTGATGTTTGTTTTGTTGTCATATCTTCTGAGCTGATATTCAGACACAGATGAATAAAATCACCATTTTAAGATGAGAGATGCAAAATGTGAACTTTATATAAATCAGCTCATGAAAAGAGAAGCGCAGACTTCTAACTCTTCACCTACAGCACGGATCTTTGGAGAAAAGACAAAAGGATAACAACTACCTCAGTCATGGTAATGGTCATTTAACTGAGATGGAAGGATATTGGGAAGCATGTAGCAACATTCTTATCCTATTAGGACAGACATTCAAACCTCATATTGGCATTGAAAATTCTGTTGCTCTACTGGTAATAAATGGAAAGTCTAGTGTTTGTAGTAACAGGCATGATACCTTAGCTATGAACTCTCTGGGGGCTCTTTGAAATCTTTTCGGTTCTGTGGGCAGTGTGATCAGTAATATAAAAACAGGGCTGGAAAGTTAGCAATGGGAGAAAATAATTCTCTGAAGAGTCCAAGCCCTTCTATCTGTTACACCTAAAAGTTCCCTCATTGGCTTAGTAATGTGGCATGGCTGCAACAGAAATTAGGATTGGTGCCGTTGTGCATATTTTGGCCTGTAAATGTATCTGTGAGTTGATACTCAGCCAATTACAAAATAATCTACCAGTCTTAGAAAAATTAATGAGAAATAATGCAATACTTTTTCTGTTTTCCTAAAGGCATTTTCTTAAATGAAAAATATTAATATCTTTTCCTTTTCTCTCTTAGCGTCACTCAGTATTTACTTAAATTTTGAAGATTAGATGAAGTCGGAAAAGTATTTTTAAGAGAATCTGCTTCCTATTCATACTTTGTTGGTATATATATTCATGTGTATTTTTCACATGTGGGCCTAAATAAGAATAAGGACTGAAAATCAGAGGAAGAACAAAATTATATCCAGATGTGCACCTCTTTTCTCCTTTTGCTTCGGATGAAAGGGGATGGCAGGGCACTGTCTTCATGAACAAGTTCAGGTTGTGCCAGAAATGGTTCAGATTGGATGACAGGAAAAATTTCTTCACAGAAAAGGTTGTCAAGCACTGAAACAGGCTGCCTAAGGAAGTTGTGCAAGTATTTAAAAGATGTGTAGATGTGGCACTTAGAGACATGGTTTAGTGGTGGAGTTGGCAGTACTGGGTTAATGAACTCAATGATCCTAGAGGTCTTTTCCAACCTAAATGATCGTATGATTCTCTTTTATTAATTTTTAAAATCAGCCTTACCAGTGCTCACATTTATGTAGTAATTTTCAAGGTAAATTAATAAGAACTTTGTGACATTGGTTCTGTGACACTGCTTCATTTAGAAAGGTCACAGTCTTCCTTCACATATACAGTTGTGGAAATTGCTCAGTTCCTTCTTTGCTAGGACAGTTGTTTTTCAAAGTTCTTACTCACTAATTTTCCAAGTTGCTGTGTAATACTTAGTTCACTTTTTGACTAAACTTTTATTATCATTTTTCAGAAGAGAAAGATGAATGGAAGAAAAACTAGCTGGGATCATGACATGAAACACAGGACTTTAACTTCCCTTCTTGCTCTTGTTTTGCACTTTAAAAGTCTAAATATAAACTTAGTGTAAAAATAGGTGAAACCATTGCTTTGCTTAAACCAAACCCCAATTCCTGTATTTGTCATTTAGAAAGTTATGGGGAGATGCTAAATAAAGACTATGCCAGATATATGAAAGGCATAAGAAACTGACTGCCTATGAAGTCTAACTGCACAATATATATTCCACTTAATCCTACCTTAAATCTTGCATTTAATAAGAAAATTTTAGAGGTCATATATATTATCTCAAATACATATATTCACTTTCTATGTATAAGATATATATCTCATATATAACATATAATATTAAGAGAGAAAAATATTCCAAAGCAGAAAAAAATTGCTTAACTGAAAAACAATTTGACTTTAACATAGGTATTTTTTAATTAAAATCAGAGACATATCAACACTATGAACTAGCTAAATATATTCATATTGGGAGAGGCTATTTAAAGAAAGTATGAACATAATTGCTTTTCTTAATGGAGGTATATATAACTGACTGCAAAAAGAAAAGAAAAAGAAAAAAAATTACATGAGAATGTGTACCTGACTTTTTCCTAATGAATTCTGCTTATCTTCCCTTCTCTGTATTTTCCTATTATCTATCAAAAATATGAATAATAGTTTCTCCTACTACTTCTGTATTTTTGTTTCCTCAAACTAATTTTCTCCATCCACAAACAATAATGAAAATTTCAGTTTGTTTTCCTCATCAGATTTCTGTTATTTTATTGCCAAGTTCCTATCAAGAAGCATTTATGACTTTTTTTTCTTCTGTTCAACTTTCTCCTCCTTTTCACATACAGTTTCTCTAAAGGTGGTGTTTTGTTTAATATTAATTTTTCTCTAATTTTACTTTTTCTCCCTTTTTCTCAAAATCTCATATTTTCTGTGAGATGCACCTTGGTTCATTCAGTTTTTCAACATTTTGCATCTCAACTTCTTTGATCTAATTCCCTCTCCTTTCTTTTCTTGTGCTCCTCATTGTCCTTTTACTACCCTTTTCACCTCTTGATTTGTTCAATTTTTAATTTCCAGGATGATTTCTTCTGCAGCTAGGCTTTCTCAATTACTCAGTTACATACTCAATTTTTTTTTCTACTTCCAGTACCCCTCTTGAGCACCACCTCTCCTGATACTGGAAGCAGATACAAGGTCTTTCTTCTGGTCCTTCCTGTTTGCAAGAAAAGTGTTCTCCTGCTTGAGTTTTGAACTGGGAAGAGGACAGCTGCCTAAAGTATGACATCATTCCTTAGTCCTCCAAGGAAAGTGGTGTGGAGATCCATTAGAGAGCTGGCAGGTATCTTGTCTCCTTTACTTGAATGTTTTACCAATCACCTTAGCAACAAGTATGGGAAGGAGAACACAGATTACTGGCCAAGACTGTTTTCTTCTTTTCCAGCAAGCCTGAAGTTTATGTGTGCCCAGACAGGAATAAACCACAGCATTTTCTTGTCTACAGTTGAGCTCTACCTGAAGAAGTCTTCACTCATTGCCCTGTGTGCCCTTTGACATACTAAAGGCTAAGGTGATACTTCCCAGGAAATGTCACACAGACACCGCTTTAAAAGTTTGAAAACTCTTGAGGAAGAGGTGAAAGGATTCCATTCTGTGAATTGACTTATGGAAAAGAATGGATGCTGGAATGATTGCAGTTGTTCTTTTCATAAAGATGATATTAAGGAAATTAATATGCAGTAGGGGTTTCTTTACTTCCTATGAAACATTAGGTTTTCATGCAGTTCCGTTTCTTATAAGCAAAAATTTTCAGATAACTGCAGGAATGGGGCCAACATATGTGTAGGACAGGCAGGGTCAAACAGCAATAAAATAAATCAATACAGACTTAGAGCAGAAGACAAATAACATATAAAACAGATGTTCAGAACTCAAACAGGAGAGAGGGTTGTACATGAACTCAATTGTAGCCTAGTCTAAGATGGGTTTTCTGAACTATAGGCTCTGTTGATACATATATTTACAGTATATCTAGTATCACAGGAGCAAAAATCTGGATACGCTGAACTCCACAACTATATAAAATATATCAATTAATATTTGAAGTGCTTGGAGAATATATGTATCAAACTTTAAATACTTAAAATGAAGCATGTAATGATTGCAGTGAGTATACATTTAGTTTATTTCTGACAAATAAAAAAAAAATCCAAAATAATGAAGAAAGAAAAAAAATTGTTCATTTACACATAAGATCAATAGCAGAAGAGATGTATTTTCCTTCTTGAGCACTCACTCTACCTCTCCCTGAAAGAGAAGGATGAGTGAAGAGATTCTGGATAGATGAGTTGTTAAACATTCAGTGTTTGATTTCTCTTCTGAAAGAAGTCTTAGGTGCTATTTCTGATTGGATGACGTGAGTACTTATCACTTGCCACCCTATAGCAGGATAAAGCCTCACAACTACTAACTTAGCAATTCCATGTTTTATTCAGTGTTCTAAGAGATGAGATGAAACATACTGTTTCCTACTCATTTCCTACCATGGAAACTATTTTTCAAAACTGCACTAAATCTAGTAGGCAGAACGCTTCAATTGTCTTCTATGTTACCAGCCTTGATAGAATTTTCCTTCCCTGAAATACGTAGGGTTTTCTTCATTGATATTTTGTTGGTTTGGTTGGTTTATTTGTTAGTAGTTGTGAATTTTTCCCAGTCTGGCCTACCTTTTGTGCTTTTGGCATATCAGTGTGGCGCTGAGCACGTACAGACCGTGCAGATTTAGGTGGCTTTATTGGAGCACAATACATCTCCAGCCTCCTCAGGTCACAACTCTGGAAGCAGCATTCATCCACTATTCCCTTGTGGTGTAAGCGTCTACTGCTGGATCCATACCCTGTAGGCTTACCTATTCAAAACACAAATGGAAAGTTTTTTTGTTAGAAAGAAAATGCAAAGCTCTCAGAAGCAGTCATATCATCAAGTTGCATTATTTTAACTGAATCACCAATGACCATTGTAGAGCCACTCTGCGTGTATCTATTCTAAGACCCTGTTCTCAGATACACCTTTCAAAGAAATTCCTGGAAACAGCCAGCTTTTATCTCTGCCTATGGGTGTTCACTATTTAAGCATTTGAGCAAATTTATGCGTTCTTAGAAAAATATTATTAAAATATGTTCCTGAGCTGTCTTAGCATTGAAAATGGAGAGGGAGGAATCTGAAATCTGGCATTTACAAAGGAAATTTGCCCTTTAGCTTTAGGATGAAAACTGATTGCTGAGCCAACTGAGGTAGCTGATGTGTAAAGATCATAGATCATGACTGTGTTGTAGACAAATATTTCCTAGTAAAAAAGGCTACAGCGAGGTACTATGTGGAGCCAGAATGTGTTCCAAAGGGGAAATAAATACTGTATACAACTGCACAGGCTGTAATATCTGCAAGCTCAAAAGCTAGTGGGAAGCAGGAAATAAGGTAACAAAGTAACGGATGAAATGCTGCAAAAATAGGAAGATGGTTGATGGAACAGATAAAAGCAGAAGACTTTATATTCCATAGATTTGTACAAGATAGGAAATGGGACTGACATAACATAGTTTTCCTCTGTTTTGCACCAGGCATCTGAACAAACTACTTAACTGGCAAATATTTTCCATTTTTCACTCAGCTCCAGTAAAGGCTGACATGTTCATTCATACAACTCTTACAAACGTATTTTTGGTTTTTTTCCCCAGTGGTTTATTATTTCTTTAGTAACTGCTAATTTCTCTGCTATACTACACAGAGATTAAAGTCCCACTGTTTCCTGGGCTTGTTTGTATGCAACCCTGTTGGATGTGTACTTGCCCTGTTATGACTAACTAGAAATGAAGGAACAGTAAATTCACAAAAAGTAAGTAGCTGCCTACTTTCTATATCTATTTTAAATTCTGCTAGAATTTGATTTCACATACTAAAATTCTGAAAAGATTAAGTGTTTTGTTTTGACATTTTCAACATTAAATATTTCCATTTACAGAATGATCCACATTAGTTAAGAACTGAAAAATATGGAAAAAAAAAAGGAAAGAAAATTGTACCAAGAGCCAAAAAATGAAGTAACTCAGTCAACTCTACCAATTTCTTTTCATGCCTCTTTTTTTTTCTTTTTCCCTTAAGTTTTATCACTGAGATCAAAAATCTGTTATTCACAGAGTTTGGCAGGAGTTTATGTTTTAAGAATTACTCAAGCTAGATAAAGCATAAAGGTATCAAAAATTCAGTTTCTCTTTGGGAAATTATTATATCAAATGCTTGTACAGCAAATTCCAGGGTGATGTCCAGGTACTTGTCCTGCAGCTGTCAATTTGAAAAGACGACACTGCATTTTGCAGTATCCTGTGATTAAAACATGTACCCATTGATGAAGAACCCTTGAGGCCTCAGAACATCAGTAAATGAAAAGACCTCTAGTGGTAAATTATGTCACATTTTAGCCAGCAATACAACTAGCTAAGAACTAATTATCCCTATGAGCTTTGTAAGCTCAGATAACAGGTTTTTAAATGTCTTTTTTTTTCTTTCCTCGGACTATAAATTAAACGAAAAGAAAAACATGCTTACTTAGTATATTACAATCCACTGAGGGCCTCTGTATCGTACATTGCCTGCTAAATCATTTGTTTCATAAGACTAAAGAGAAGAGCAAGCCAGGAACAAATTACAGTAATATTTTGGTTTGTTTGTGTGTGTGTGTTGTTTTATGTGTATCACTGAAAAGTATTATAAATATTAAGATGCAGCGGTTTTTTTTCCGAAACTATTTTCCCTCACTGACTTACAATATAAATTACAAGCTTTTTGGTGACGATTTTTTCTGAATTCTGTTAATCCAGTTGTTTTAGCCTAATACTTTTAAAATTTAGCAGTCAAGATAACATGTGGAGTGCCATTAGTTTGCAGTATAACCAGAGCTGCGCCGCATTTTATCTCACTCCCATTTAAAGAAAGGTAGGGCAAATTCTGTTCCTGGATATGCAGGTATAACTCTTCCCAGTAGATCCAGCTGAACTATAGGTACAAAAAACTGATTAGTAAAGCTTCCCTTTCTTTTCTTAATCTGCCAGTTTTTCATAAGCAAATACATCCTAAAAGCTTCTGTTCAAGTTATTTTACCCTTCAGAGTCTGAATTTAACCATTTATAAATGTGTAGGACCTTTATAATTTATAAAGTTGATAAAGTACCTTTAATAACCTATGAAGCACTGCCTGCCTTATTTAGTAATCAGTGGCAACATTTCTCCTCACTATCATATACATAAATAGTTAATACAAATCCTAAATCCTGGAATCTTTCTGGTGCAAATCTCAGTGCACTTCAAAATCATTTTTAGTGTAGCCAGACCAAAAACATCTATGAGTTACTTTTCTTTCTAACAGAATAATAATTTTATGAAGGATTATATAATGTCTAATAGCCCTTTAAAAAACCTGTATGGTACATGTAACAACATTGGAATGGAATCACTAACACATCACTGATGTGGTCAGCTATGAACTTATAGGCTTAAATATTCATGTACCACATAGCATGCTAAATGCTCATCCTTCATAAAAAGATAACATTAGTCCAGTGAAGTTAGACTTTTTCTCTTTAAAAAAATGTTTCCCAAGGTTTTTGAAAGACCTAAGCAACGAAATATACTTAAAATTTGTGTGATATAAAGTGCTATACAACAAAGAGAACAAATGAATAGAAAAAAATATTCTTTTTGAGTAATCATGATTCTCAATCATGATTGAGAAGTATCTGATATCTAAAGTAATTTTAAATCAATAGATTTTAAATTACTGCTGTCCTCTTAAGTGCTGCTGCTTACAAAGATGCTATTACAGTGAAAGGTGAGATAAAGAATTACAAGGAGATACTACCGCTTCTACAGATGTTATCATTATTTGGCCCATCTGCTTCTGGAAGGACTGCAGGATCAGATGGTCCCAGTTCATCAACTTACCAAAATATGCATTTAGATCTAGGCAAATGTTCAAGCTCCTATATAATGTGTTGGACTAATGCACGTGTTAAACAGTGAGCACATGCCTGAGTGCTCTTCTAGGGACTGATGTAACTGAGCACTTAAGATAATTTCTAGACCAATTGGTATTAGTAAATAAATGGCTGGTGGTTCTGCATTTTTAATATGATTTTTGTTCCCTTTTTTTTTTTATAATATTGCCTACAGTATGGACTGGACTTTCTGTGTCACTATACTGCGAACCCATATAGTTCTTTCTCATCTTTCTGACATAATTTGAGTGCTGCCTTCCAACTGTTATCAAAAAGTTCCTTGTATTTACTCAACCTTCAAAGTGCTGCCTGTGGACATACAACAGTCTTAGGCATTCCTTTTTGCTGACGTACACTGATTTCCTTGGAGGTTTCTTTCCTTTTTTGTCAGTTGCCAACTCAAGAGAATTTCATATCATGTAGGTCAAAGTTTACTTAATAGAATATTTGGCACTTGTTTAATCTACACTATCAAATATGTGAATGTTTCTTTCAATGTGCGACAAGCAGATACGAAGTCTAGTCACACTATTCTGAAGTCCCCTGAAAGCAGGCCAAGGTACAGAGTTGCAGTAGTTAAACAGCTGACTTCTGTACTAACAGCACTTCCCTTTAAATAATGCAAAGTCAGTGGAGTAATTCAACAGGACTTGTTTACACTCGATTTCTCTGTTTCTCCCCATCCCTCCAAAATACCTTACTGGTATAGGTGGACTATAGAAGTATCAGATATCAAGTTATCTAGGCATTCTGTGTAGAATCATAATCTACTATTGTAGTATTAACCTTAGAAATTACATAAGAAATAGCCCAGGATAAACACAAAGCTTAATCTACTCTTTAGGGGACTCTAGGAAGAGCTGGGGAAATGTGTCCGGGATATGTGTCCAGGATATGTGACTCTTCGTATTTGTTGTACATAGTGTCTTTTTTAGCCAAGCATAGAACTCCAGAATGCCATGTAGACTGTAATTCAGAAATACATCATAAATCTGAAAAACAGTGACCTAACCTGCTATCAGAGTCAATCTTCAGCTGTAAATGCAGCTTTTAAAGCATTGCAAAAGGCCATTAGTTTTGCTCTAGTCTTGTAGCAAGAAACTCACAATGTTTCCATCAAAACATCAGGGTAATATAACTTGTACACTTTTGAAACATTGATAGCAGCTTACAGTATTGGGATGTATGTGAGCATGCTATAAGGCAGTATGTTGGACAAACAGAATTTTTTCTGTGGCCTGAACAACAAGATTGAGAGTTTGTGGTGCTATATTACAATGCAATAGCTGAGCAAACTTATCCTGTCTGCTAGATCCAGACTGGGAGCTGCTGATTAGAGTATTTTTGAGTTGCATGTGCTGTCTGCCTTATAGTGGCACAGAAGACCAGGGATGCTGAATTTGAGATTCATCTTGCTCATCTTTGCTACCTGAAAATTAGGGATCTCGTTTAAGATAGTGAACTCAACAAGGAGGTGTGCCTACAGGGTGACTGATTTCTGTATTGAATGCTTTTCTTAAAATTAAATGTATCCTTGTCCTCTGAAAGAGGCAGTGTTCTTTCATGGACTGCAGATAAAGCTACTTGCTCGAGTCTTAGTATGCATACACAACTCCTTCTAGGAGTTCTTCAAAGAAAATGAATTCCATTGAAAATGATTTGTCCTAAACCACAAAATATATGCCCCTGGTGGAGTACAAAGCCTTTGTCTTTCATTTCCAATTTAAAAATTAAATATAACAACAGATTGTTCTAAAAAGCACACCACCCAGTGTACTATTTAATTATGCATCTCCATACCTCTTTAAATGTATTCTGTATGTTAGCTACTGTTTCTGTGTATTTTTGCATTATAAAT